ATTATTATTTGATGGGGAGAAAATGACTATATGTCGCAATTTCCCCTATATCACAGGGGATTAACGTATGCTCGTCAGGCCGCGAATTATTGATAACGGAAGTATCCCGTGAAGATATGAAGGAACATCGGCTTTGAATAATGAATAATGAATCTTGAATTATTTTATTAATTCTTCCGTGCCTTACATATTTGTATCGGTTCACGAGACAATGAAGTCGGTGTCTACATAATAACTATTGAATAATTTAGATATATTTTGATGCCTTATCTTAATTAGGGGAAAAAGAAAAGCTTTATAATAAATTAATAGAGAAAGGGAGACTAAATTAAGCATAAATAAAATAGTATTTTAATGAACATTGAATTAGCTGTCAGTATATATCTCAAAATATTAAAAATATTCGATCGTGAATAATTGTCTAGTAATTTCTATTTAAGAGAGAACGAACCCGGATTGTTTGGACCCGCTGAGACCGAACCCCACTATTTTTATATAAATTTCTCAATCTTGACTCATATCGAACCTGGAAAAATTTTAGTCATGTTCAGAATCCTTAATTTTTATTTGAAAAAAATAATTAAAATTGCCTTTTAATTTGATTTTTTTTACATTATTGAATTTCAATCCAAATAAAAATTATCCAATAATATGGTTATATTAGAAGTCAGTAATGACACTGTAGGGAGGACAGAGGCTTGAGCCAAGAGCCCCCTAAAAAATTTTCAAATTGTACAAGTTCCTATTTATTTTTATTCTACAGATAATATTATGTTAAATAATGTATACCTATACTAATATGAAATAAGAATATTCTCTATGCTTTAAAAATGGATTTATAGGACCTTATTGACATGGGATGTAAAACATTTTTTTGATATACTAATATTAGATGTAAATTAAAGCATATTTTTTTGTCATTAAGTCTAGACAGACAATATCGAAAATGTCTTATGTACTCTCCCTACATATTCAAATTATTGAAGCTAAAAAAATGGATCCAGGGATCTTTTTTGATGCTTCAAAAATATGAAATCTGAGCCATTAATATCGATAATTATAAGATTTAATAAATGATATTATTATACATACCACTTACCAAATCAATTTTATAATAATATTTAGGTGTAGTACAGTGTAATAAATTTTAAGTGCAGTTTATATAACTTAACCAGCATATGATATTTGCAATTTTGATATAAATATGACTATTTAATTATATAACTATGGATAATAACATTATTAAATCAATTTTATAGGTGTTGTAAAAAAAATTCAATCAAGTGCAAATTTTTTTTTTGATAATAGTAATCAGTGTATAAATTAGTATCCGGTAAGTAAAAGATTTAATAACATAAACTATCTTTATTTGCCAAAAAATGAAATCTACAATAATTTATCATTTTTTCCTTCTATTTTTTTGTTTCTAATTTTGACTTTGATATAAGCGCTAATCATAAAAGCATTATGTTAAGCATTGTTCGTATACTAGAGTGCTTCATTCAAATATGGGCTCCTTAATATCTAGAGTTTATTCTTTAATATCTCATCTGAGTAAATCTTAGTTTTACTATATCTGTTTTCAATAATAACATACAAATCTTCTGCATTTATCTAGACAAGTCATTATACTGCTAAATATTTAATTATGCTAAAATAAAATTATTCGAAGCTTTTTTATTTATCCTGATCTTTGTTTTAAAAATTCGTTCCATAAAGCATAATTTAATCTGATATAGCAAAATATTCAATTCTGTAGAGTTCAATTATACCATTTTAACGTTATGAACATTCATTAAAATACATCTTCTTTTTGCGACCTATTATATATTATGGCCTTATTTAAAGTAATCGCGATTCACTTAATTTATCGCTGCATAATTTACAAAAGCAAGTAAATAATAGGCATAGCGATGCGATGAAACAAGGTACATTGGCTAAGATGAAATTTGAAAATCATATGTTGCGATATGATTCGCTTGAGCAATCCTGGGATTAAACCTGAATCAATTTTGCAGCATAGATTCATCTCTCATCTTCTGCCATCGAAAGGGAAATAGTCGTTAAAAAAATATACTGGTCTCCACAGTCTTAAGGAGACTTATTACATGTGACTCCAATAAAGGTTCTACCTTCGTCAGCTGTTGGTTCAATTTTTTAAGTATTCACTCCTCACTAGCAGTGTTGTTAAATGGCTCAGTTTAAAAAAATGGCTAACCCAATATTTTAGTTAAAAATGTTATGCAAGCCTCGAAATTTCGTTAATGGATATCCAAACCTTTCTTACATCTATGAGCAAAATCTCCAGGCTTGTGTAATATTTTTGGCTAAAATATTAGGCAAGCCGTTAAACAACACTACTAGGATGCTGGTTTCTATTTTTATATAAAATTATATATCTTATTCCTATTTTTATAATAAAATAAAATTTAATAAAGCCTGAAGATTAAAAAAAATATATATATAGATTTTTTACTTTTAAAAAAAGTAAAAAAAGAAACGCGTATCTCGTTATTAATTACTATCGGAAAAGTATAAAAAATGGCGTTCCTTTAAAGGGTAACGCCGTTAGTAAGGACCTTAATTTCATCGATGTTACTTTACAGCGCTAAAAATTTCTCAATTATTCGACATCGTTATAAAATACATTTATGTAACGATAAAGATATATTTTGTAAAAATATATCCCGATATACATATCAGAGACCTGCAGAGGTAATATTTGCACGACCCGTCCTAGATTTTTAAATTATTATAGCTAATAATGACAATTTAAAATATAAGGTTTTAAAATATGGCCTGGGTATTTTTTTAAAATTAAAAATTTTTTTTAGGCCCTGCCCGGGTATATTTGAAAAAATTAAACCTGGCCGGGCGTACAGGTTTCTGATTCATATATATACTGATAAATTTATTATATAATTTTTATACAAAATATTAATCGTTGGATTAAGTTTATAAACCCAGTTGTTTATTAAGAGATTACTAGTTTTTTTAAAAGGTAATAACTACAGGTATTGAAGAAGAAGATCATTGGCTAACCTCAGTTTTAGACCTGTTTATTTACTTCTAACACCCTAATACTATTCCTTTGTACCGAAAAATGAATGGACTCTACAAATAAAATCAATATCTGTTATTCTCTGCCTTTGCTTGTGAGGAACACCTATCCCTTGGAAGGTGGGGAGAGGGTATAACACAAGTTCTTACATTTATTGAAGAAGGTAGTGGTTATTAAGACGCTCTCGTAATTTGTTGGAGACCGTGATTTGATTTGGATTTATTTTATCCTGCTAATTTTGATTTTGATTTTCTTTTTGCTTATTTTGATTTGTTAGGAGGGGAAGTGAGGTAAAATTTCTGAGGCAAGTTTAATCAACATTGAAGTTTGCTGGCAGGAGTGCAAATAAGAAATTTATTTGAGGTAAGTGGGTGAGGGATGTAGAAATATTGATTTATTTCTTTATTAAATTTTAGCAAATTTTTCAGAAGGATTGATTTACTGCTTTTTTCGCCTATACCATTAAAACACACCAATTTAAATAGGAAATGCTTGGTTTATCAATTTTTCGATTTTGCAAACCTTTAAATAATTTTTATAATATAAATATTATTTTGCATAACTTCATTTAAAATTGAAGATTTCCTGTAGAGATGTAATGGTATATAATGAAAACAATGGTTTTGATAGCTTTTATCATTGGAATGTATTTTGCGATACCATTGAATGATATAATTTTTATCCTGGTAAAAATTCTAAAATTATAACTAGCGGCAACCTATAAATTGTTACTATTAAAAAGTTGGCAAACAAACATTTTATGAATATTTCATGATCTTAAAATTTTAATATTATATTATTAATATTTCAATATTTGCGCACTTATCTTGATACTTTATTAACCCCACACGTTTATCTTATCATACATATAATTACATAACTAATAAAAGTTAAACAAATAATCATTTTAGAAAACAGAATTTTGATAACTTTTTATTTAATAAAACCTTTCGATTTAATACTTATAAATATTAATTTATATGTATATTTTTTAAATTGATTTATGTATGAACTTCATTATACTCTAGCATGTGAATCTATAAATGACAAATTAATTCGTGTACATATAATAAATATATAGTATAATATTTTAACATTTTTATCACCTAAACTAACAAATTGATTTAATTAATAGCAATTCTCGGTCATTGCTTAAGACATTCACAAGAAAATATGATATTTTCGTCCATGAAGTGGACCCCAGATTATGGGAGACAGAGAACTCCCAAATACTATTGGCTGGCAAAATGTCTGAAGGACATGGACTTGATCAATCTTTCTTTCACAGATTTCTTGGCACTCAGCAAAAACAAAAAACATTTAAAAGAACATCTACAACACATGCTTAAATATGGTCTAAACTAGAGCAGCAATCGTGGAAGTATTGGACTATTCTCGCTAGAGATCTGCAAAGTTAGGCCCGGCCAGTACCCAGCCCGAGTAGGGCCAGGCCCAAAGCCCTCGGGCCTAATTCTATTTAAAATAATCGGGTTCGGGCCGGGCCTAATATTTTAAAAAAAATTTGAACTTTTTATGTAAAATAAAAATTTTTGATTTAATTTATTGAAACTAAACGCTATATAACATATGTCTTTTATTTTAAGTAATTATAAAAATTAATTTATATATTTAAATAAATTCGGGCCTGGCCGGGCCGGTAAATTTTTTTAAAATAAATTTCGGGTTCGGGCCGGGCCGGCAAAACTGTTTTAAAAAAATTTCGGGCCGTGCCGGGCTTGAAAAATTAGGCCCGATGCAGATCACTAATTCTCGCACCGTCTTATTTCCAACCTCGAATGACAATTTATGCATCGGCACGGATTATATTGGAATTATGGATTGAATGAAATAGGATGAGGATGATGATAATTAGTATTTTATTAAACCCCCCCCCTCCCCTTTATAACTCCTTTACCTGTCTTTTTCCTTTCTCTACTAGATAAACGATTTTGACGAAGGCAATGATGATCTCAAGACCGTGAATAATAATGATAACGATTCCGGGTTCTTTATAATAATGATAATGTGGTAAATAATGAGGATCCCGTGCATCGCTTGCTTAATACAAACAAGGATTTATGGGGACACTATTGACTCTAGAATGACAAAAATAATTGAAGGTAAAAAGAAGGAAAATATCAGACAAAGATAGTAAGCTTTTTAGAATAATGGGCTTCAGGAATTGTGATCACAATTACAGGGTAGTTGGATGCCTCCGGAATAGGACTCGCTATATAGACATAACGTTATCTTCCAAGGATATACTTACCTAACATAAGAATTACTTTTTTTCCATCTCTTAATCTAACCAGGCGTCAGGTACATTATTATTGATATTGGTTACAATTTCTTAACACTATCTTGCCGGTAACGGAACTAATAGATCCCCTCTTTCTTACTCCTCTCTTCTTTACTATGCTAGTTGACTACATAGTGGTACCGTCCACTATAATAAAACGGGTATACACCATGTGTAGGATCTGTATACTAGTGTATACTTGGTGCACGCTACAACTCCTGGTGGGTATGAAATTGCACGTAATGTGAATGAATTAAACGTTAATTTATTTTAATATTTTGGCTGTTACTTATTAGCTTAGTTTAGTCTACCAGTCTGAAGGACTCAGTTATAAAGATCCATTCTAACCTGATTCAATTAATGAAATTCAAATATTCCTTATTCGAATTAAGTTCAAGGTAGATTTTTGCGATAAAATTCTCTAAATGAGTCAAATTGCCGTTTGGCTGGTGGCCCTCTGAACTATTATTCTGCCCTAAGGAAAGCAAATATTTTAAGTACGGCATGGCACTATTCCCTCATAATTAACTATATTATATTTATTAATTTATAGTCGGAAATTGTTGACGCTTTAATAAATGGTTGTGGCTCAAAATATATAGTAAGCTTGTGGAATAATAGTGTGTTCAGCAGGCCTATTTTCTATTAACATAGATGTAATATTTTTTTGTTTAGGCGAAAGGCTTTCTTAACCTATTTATACTTAAATAAAATATTTTTACCTTTTAAAATAATAATCTATAAGTTTTAAGGCCGTGTCCTGGTTCTAATTATTACTAAAACGTTAAATAGCCGGTTTCACCTGACTCCAAAATACGGTCCTAGTTCAAAATGCTTAGTTTAGCCGAAGGTAACAAAGATAGGCCTAATCAGGACACAGCTTAATTACTTAATTATAAGTTCATTAATTATTTATTTTAACAATGGGCAAAATCTAATCAAAAAATTAACTTTATAATTAATTAATGGAAAAAAGATGCTAATAAAAAAAATAAAAATCAAATAAATTAAGTTAATTAAATATGAATAAATAATATTTTAGAAATCCTTATGAATTGATTTAAACCTAATCGGAAAAATTTATAACGCTCACACTCTCTTCTTTTATATTTTTTATAACGGTTTGATCGCGGTTTGGAAATTTGTAACAGTTAGCGGTTCGATGCCCTAAAAGATTTATAAAAAATAGAAATTTTAACTAAAGATATACAAAAATAAAAAAATGAAATGCGGTAATTAAAAATAATGAAGATATTGATGATCTGAATGGATTGTCAAATTTTGAAAGAATCCATAATCCAGGGCTGGGAATATTGCTTAAAAATTTAACGGCTACTATTACGATTATTCAAAGAAAAAATATAAGGCTAAGTTAATACCATTATCTCAAAAATAAGGGTTATCGTATCATATCGTTATTTAGAACTTGTAAGGGTTATAAAAAGCTCTAAGTTAAATTAAAAACACTGTAATTTTTTTTGAGTAATTCAATCAAAATAGGCAGTTTTTTTATTATCAAAAAAATTAATGTTTTTGGCAGTATTTATAATTTTGAGCAGTAAATTAATCAAAATGGTTAGAATTTTTATTATCAAAATGTTTGGGCCGAGTTGGGCAGGTCCTTTATAAAAGAATGTAGATAGAAATATTGATTCTTTTTAAAAAGAAATGTGGGTCTTAGATACATATACAATAATAAGAGTAGATAAACACGAAAAATTTATCTATTTCTTCTGCATGATAAGCCATAAAGTCGATAAGGACTAAGGAGGTCTGTTAAGTCACACACAATTCTTTATAACTGGGTGGGAAAGCGATGATATTGATTTTTGCAAACCACTAAATTATAGTGTAATGTATGAGCTAACTTCCAAAAATACGTAGAATAATACCATATATAATGTTAATTGTTTCAAAACTGGAAGATAAATTCAAATAAATTACAGCATATTCTATGGTTCATTCCTCAAGAGGAACTTCCCCAAAATTTTTAAAATTATTTAAAATTTTTCTAAAACACTAGCAAACTATAATTTTTCGACTACTACTATAACAAAATTTTCTTACGATATCATTTATATAACTAGAAGCAAAAACCAAAAGGTACATCCTTATGAAAAAAATATTTAAGCAATTACAATCAACAAATTGAATTTATTCAATTCAAACATAATTATTTTAATACTTTGTATATCCAAAATGTTGAACTTTTAAATATAAAAAAAATATTTTATTCCACCTTATAAAATAAGATGATGATAATTTGATACAATAATTAATATAAATATGGACAAGAAATGATAAAATTGAATTATCTAATTTTGGTATAACAGAAAAGTTGATATGCTAAAATATAAAATAATACTAAATATTAATGAATAAAAAAATAAATTAATCCAAGAATCCATGGAAAATTCCTGGATCGAATATAGAAAAGAAAGAAAAACTGAGGGGTGTCTAAAATTCATGATTATACAGAATCAAGCTCAGAAGTGGAAACGAATTTTAAAAAAGACGTTTATTAGTTCCGATTCTTCCAGTCTTTTATAGTCAAATTAAACCTTCATCCTCTCCAAATATGTGATTGAACAAAAACTATAGGTCACGTTTTCTTTAGCAAAATTGTAAATCTTTTACATTTAATATGATACACATTATAACTATAAAATGCCATTTTATAATGAAAAATTGATGATCGATATTTATTTATTCAATTTGTAATATTTTTGTTAAAGAATTTTAATTTTAATGCGCCTATTTTCTCAGTTCTGAAGAGTATCATAGTATATTTATCAAAAATAAATAACGGTTATAAAATATTATATTATGAATGATGCCTAATTGAGATTTAACATTCTTAATTAGGTATTTAAAAATATTATTGAATAAAAAAGATTATTTTTTGAATGCCTAAATAATAAACCGAGAATAAGTTATTGAAAGTTTTCACCGATAACAAAAAAGTTCAATTTTTATAAAAAATATGTATATTTTTTGTTTTGTATTATTAAAAAGAAATTATTAATAAAGCATGACAAATTATAGAATAATCTATATTCTTTTAAATTCCATATAAAATTTAATTAGAATCATTGTTCTTACAAATGGTAGAGGACTTTAATTAATCTATCTTTAAATTTATGATAATTAATATTCACTGTGCGGACATAGATAGGAATTTACCATTTTCCAGCACAAGCAAAATTTTATAAATATCTTCATTCTACTAAAATTAATAAGACATTTTATCAAAACACCTAAAAACATGTACTATTAATTATTCATTATTTTTAAATCAAATTATCTAAATTTATATCGATTAAAATTAAGTTCATAACAAATATGAAATTGGTTAATGGCAAAATTTTAGCACAATATATTTTGTGCAGCGGTAAATGATAAATTGATGTTAAATTTCCGATTTATACATTTTTATTTGCATCTAATTGATCTAAGAATATACAATATAATTTTTTTGTATTTAATATAATTATTATAGAATAAACGATTTAAAAGATAAAAATAAATAATAATTATTATAATAATGATAGTATATCAATATTATGAGAACTTCTATATTATATTCTTTGCTTTAATTTTCTTCATTTATATTAATAATTCTTCCTAGAAAGGTAATTAATATTAAAAAATATATATTACTAATATTTTATCGAATAAAAATAGGAAATGCATTAATAAGTTAAATATAATATTATATTTATAAAAAATTGTTATTAAGTTTCAAAATGAGGTTGTTTTGAAAATAAATAATCGATGATGAAATGATGGTTTAAAATTTTTTATAACAGCATCTATTAGCCATAAAACTAACTATCATTTTATGCAATTACATATTCAATACCAAAATGTGCATAGGGAGAAGAATCTAATGGTTATTGGGAATACGGTTCGCCCTCGCCACTATAACCCATTTTGACTGCCCTTTCCATTACTTTTTTAACATAATCTATCATCTTATTAATATATTATCAAACCTTTTTATCTTTATTTTATATTATTATTTGATCGTGAAATATCAAATCACTTAAAATATAATATGAAGTATAATAAAATGGATATATAAGCTGTATTTGGAAATGAAATTTTCTGGGATTTTGAATCCGAACCTGGAGATTCGAGATGATCCATGCTATCCGGAATTATTTTTATAAAATATTTTTTATACATCTAGAATCGACGTCTCAAAGATGCAAGATATTCTATTTTTAAATATAAAATATTAATTATAGACTATTATGCTTATACTTCGTGTTCTGGTTTAGCCAAAGTTTCAACAGATTATTTCGCCAGTTCTTGTCAAGTATGCCAAACTAATTTGATATTTTTACGTCATATAAAATAGTTTTATTTTCTAATGCAATGTTAAAATTTATACAAGAAGAAAAAAAAATATATATATTTTTAATAAAATTTAGATTCAATTTTTATCCCCCTTACTAGTATTAAAAAGCTCGATAATCGGGAGTAGCTCTACCTTCTACATTTTATCCTCCTACTGTTTAATTAGATAAGATGCAAATGATTCCAAAATTCAGACCAAAATTGGTTATAATTTTAGTAAGATATCTTGCACATGTACATTTGATAATATTAATTTTAAGATTAGAGGCTATTTTTGTTGAGCTGTCTATAAAGATACGGGTGAGAATTTGGATATATAAATAACTGTAAATTTTCATGAAATATTTTAGT